CATGTCATACACCCACCCCTGGCACACTGACCAATAACACTGAAGGCACAAAACATTTGTAAATTGATATCAAGCGTGTCAAGGTATCCGCTGCCGACTACGCAAATAAATTTCTCAGGGTGGCATATTAACTGTTAGAAGTTATCAATATTAAGAATGTTGATATTTGGCAATATTAAGAATGCAAAATCACAATCATTCTTACATTTGACGCAGCAATTTGTAGAGAATATCCAATTTTACAGAAAAAGAACAACACCATTGAATTCGTCAGAAAAAGTTGAGCAGATAAACAATTTTTTGAGAAAAATTTCATCCATGAACGTTCAAACTGGAAAAAAGGTCGGTCGATGCCTTCGACCACTGTTAATCGAATTATTTCATTTTAAGATGAACTACCGTATTTCCCGCACATCTAACCACCATTTCGTTCTGAAGAACTGTAACCACGTTCAATGATCAATACTAAACTCAAGACAAATATAAAGCCAGTGTGAACGAAGTAAATTGGGCCTTCCCATTAAGCTGTAACCAATAATCAATGATTGGGTAATATTCAACCTGTCAAGACATAGTGCTGCAGAATTCAACACCTGAAAGTGGATGGAGTTGAAGGCCGTGGACATTGTTGGCTGCGGAAATGGTGAAGGAACTCGAAGCTGTACGTCGCATGAAGTCTGCGGCAATAGCTTGTCAGTCGACGACGTAGTTTTGTTTCATTGCGAGGTCTTGCAGGAACGCGGTGACCAACTCCAAGAAGCAATCAAGGTATACAAGATTCTTGGAGTGGAGCAGCTTTACCTGCAAAGCTAAGTTCACGCACAAGCTGGTCGTTGTTATGGAAGACCACATAGTCGTATTTAGTGTGTCTAAGCGTAATCGTTCAGATAGATACCATGGTACCGGTATTGTCAAGGCAGTGCTTATGGAACATGTTGAAGAGTACAATAGATCATAATAATTCAACAACATTGACATGCATTGCACGTATTACTGTACTACTTACAGTGTTAAGTTATTGCATCCCACAAGCTGGGATTGCATTCTTAACCATATCAGGTGTGATTTCATCCCTTGTCCACTTGGCACTTGGCCAGTTTGGACGCCGAACTCCTTCCCAATGCAATAGAAGGTCTTCCGAGCACCCATTGCAGCCTCGTAAGTTTGTATCACAATTACATTAGAGCTCATCGTGGATCGATTCGTCGTGACTCGGAAGTCATTTGGTTTGTGTTCGTCAATCATTGTAAGCGCAGTTAAACATTTTGTCCAATCAAAACGATGCAATTGAGCGGAACTAACAGTGGTACATTTGAAGTATTCCCGTAAAGTTGTAACTATTTCTAAAACATTTGCGTGGTTACAGATGTGCGGGAAATACGGTAGTACACTATTTCTAATCAAAAATCCGACTTTCCAAGCAAGTTTACTCTATTTTAGTGTATCATTTTATGATCACTTTTTTAACCTTGAACTGTGTATGCCTCGATGCATACAAATTGTGCGGATAGGGTATTCGTTGTGGTCAGGTAAAGTCAGAGTATTGTTGATTCGGTACAAATTTCCAGACCCCGTAGAATCGAATCTCGCCGCTGATTCGAATCACGAATCCACGCTATTGGCTAGTCCAATTTATAGAGGATTTAATTTATAGAGGATTTGATTGGTTCTTACAGAAAGGACAAGTCTATTCAACCAATCAGAGCTCCAGCTTGATTCAATATTGATATAGACAAACCACGCGAATATTGGAAGTTTATAGCGAATTCACAATATTTGGTAGGACAGTTCCAGTCCAACACATGGTCCGGATAACCTGTTCCAATCGTAATCTGAGGTTAACGTTAAGCTTAACGTTAGTACTAGTACAGAGCTGTAGTCTCGGTTGCTGGGTGCCTGTGATGCGCATACTGTAAACATGGCATCAGCGCGTGAAAGTATTGGGTAAGGATAATGTTTGGGTACAGGTAGATGGGGGAATACAGTATGGTAGGTATGTGTTGTCGGCGACACCTGTGATTTCTCTGACAAGCATGTAGTATCCAAGACGAGCAATTAACAATTTTAGGTTATCTGTGATGGCAGGGCAAGGAACTTCCCCATTTTCAAGTCAAATGTCCGGATGATTCGGCATGGTTAGCGTGTGTAATGTATCGACTTACTCCGGAGTATAATGTATTCTAGTCAAAAATACCGCGATTGATTAGCTCAAAAGGAGTGACCATAAATTGGTGTATTAATAGTGGTCATAAATTGGTCATATACGATATAAATAAAAGGAACAATTAATTCGTTCCATTCCATGATGGTTGGTTGGCGCTACCCGTAACGTTTTGGTACATATGTATGCAAGCAATCTCTAGGCGTCGTCAATGGACTTTGTACCGTGCATACGTGAAAATACAATGACCTGTACTCGAATATACGTTATTCGTAGCATTCCTACACTGCCACGTCATCGAGGCACCACGTTGCCCTCAAGTTGTCTCGCACATATCGATTGCCAATGCCGCCAAATCCAAACGCCGGCGCAATCCGACCGATGCGGGCGGCGGTGGATTTGAGGTACTCGCGGGACACAAACGACGCCCGACTTTGGGGACTCGCGTCCTTACGATTGTACAGGTCTAGGCTCAGGAGATGGAGGGGCGTCGATATGAATTGGACCTGTGCAACAATCTCTCGCTAAGTTGCATGTTCCTGAAGCACTCAACATGATCATCGTACCATGGCAGGACATAGCACCTGCGCCAGCGAATTGGACGTGGCGTTATTTGCATAGCCGTTGGATTCAAAGTACGTGGCAATCACAGGGGGCGCCACGAACGACGCGCCGACCGTCATGGAGTCGCGGACGGCGAAGAGCGCGACGGAAGTGAGGGGGAACTTGGCCGGAGCGATGACACCAAACATACGGGCAAACTCGCGGTCTTTGGCAATGCACAGTCCCATGTTGACGGCGGTGGTACCGACGAACTTGGGCAACCTATTGTCCGTTTCGACCACGTCGCAGACTGTGTCGATGGCATTGGCACTCAAGTACGTGGCCGTGTAGAGACCATAGATAAGAAGGAACTCCTTTCGTCGAACAAACGAGAGGGGGTTGCGAACGAAGTCGAGGGAGATCTCCTTTAATGCCGTCGAGAGGCCGCGCTTCCCGCTGGCGTTCTCTATGATGGCTCGGTCCACCGTTGTGATAAACGGCGCCACGAAGAAGGACGCCGCGCCAGCGGCCGCGAAGTCTATGGCAAGTTTTGCGCCGACGGCGGCGTCGAACGTAAGCCCTGAGGTCGAAGTCGCGGTCGATGTGTTGTTGGTCATGACAAGAGAGTTGGGAAATGAACACTAGGTGCATCAACTGCAAGTGGTAATTCGGCAAAAGTGATTTCATTGGCGGATAAAGTGTAGTCCATTGAGTATGATTGGTGTAAAAAATTCTGCGGTAAAACGAGACGGTGGAGGTTCAACGAATTTGGGCAACTGTACAAATTGGTAGCTCTGCCCTATTCTGTCCACTAGGTAGCTTGTTTGGTTGTGTCATAAGCCGAATGACCTTGTACTACGTACTAACGTACGTAGTATTGGACAGGATATGCCATGTACCTATTGCTCCAACATGCGACGACGGTACAGGTAACCTTACCTTAATACAGTATATACACCATTACTCTGTGAGTAGACGACGGTTGTGCAAACCGCCCGGTGTGATGTCGCTGAACGTGTCCATTAGATCCATTTCTAAATGACATGTGGGGCTGGTATGCCAAGAGAACTTTCATGTGGCGGCACCGCCCGTGTCATGATGATGCGCGAAACCTTGCCACGCTCCACTAAGATTGTGCAATCATGCAGGTCGGTCGGTAAAAGGCTAACGCAGATGTAATCGCTCACTGCGGCCACAACTATCCATAACGTTAGTCAGATCGCTGTAGTATCCTTGGCTCGTCAAAGATTTCCCGTACAGGGAACTACATAGTGATGGAGTTTGGTGACTGTGAGTTGCTATTGTAGCACTGTACTCTATGCATGGTCAAAGTAGACATTTGATTTTGTACGAATGTGTTTTTGGAGGGACTATGCACGAACCTATGAAGACACATGGTCTGTGAAATTTAATACTTCGAAGTATTCAAAGATATCGCGTTGAATGGTGGATTTGATTGGTGGTAAAAATTGTATTTCAACCAATCACAGGGTCACTACCAACTGTACGGTCGATTTTGAACATGGCACCACCTAAGCCACAACCGTCGTCGCCCACCGCGGTGGCCGCCACGACGGACGACATCTTGGTGGATGAGTCCTCCACTGTCCACTTCAGCAAAATAGCTGTGGACTTCTTGAAGAAGTGCGTGCTGGAGGAGAAACTCACGGGGCTTAAGGTGGACGTGGAGCGACGACAAGAGATCGCCGCGCTGTTGAATTGCCCCGAAAGCCGCGTCACGGTACAGTAGACGCATGTTGAATATGTGTTTTCACGCTTGAAGCAGAACTGGATCCGCAATTTCTCGCAGACTCTGAAGAAGAGCGAAATCCCCTCGCGTCCTGCCCTAACGACGTCGCCGAAGTCCACCACCGACTCGACTAAACCCCACCGAGGGTCCACATCGTCCTCCAGTACCGCTACTGCTTCCCCTTCCTTGATTGTCCGTGAAATCAGGGCCAAAGGTAGCCATGTCGCGTCTGAGAAAGGTACAAAGGTGTCGCATCAACACCTCGTGACATCATGAATAGAAATCGAAGCCCGTCGGCGCATTACATCTTCGACGTCTGCAACCGCCGACGTAGCCGTTCATGTAACCAAGGAACTGCTTGGTCGTTGGAACCCTGGCGCCGAGGTTTCAATCCCCAATGACGACGACGACGTTGGCACTCCTTCCAAATCTACCCTCATGCCACCCACTGAAGGCATGTCCACTCGCGAACGGGTGGTGTGGAAGAAGCAACTGCGGGGCACCTTGAAGCGCACGTTGGATGCACTGGGTATGTCATCTATCCATCCCTCGTCGTCCTCCGACTGTGCTCTCATGCCTCATGGCGACTGACATGCAGAGGAACTTGGCTGCCCGTCGATCTTGGCCACGTTCGACGCCGACACCCACGCTGGCACGTACGAACCTCGAGGTACACACACTCCTACAATCCTCTTACTACCAGCACTTAGTACTATTAGTAGCTACTACTGCAACTACTAGTCCATTTCTTCTTTCGACATTTCTCACGCTCGATATTTTTTACTTAGGAGCGATCGCCGTCCATGCCACGGAGCATGTCCGCAACATCCACGACCTCAACCTGGACACGCTGCTTCCAGACATCGCCGTCATCCGTCGGCAGTTCCCCGCGCTGTATCCGGCGCCCGCGAACCCGTTCAAGCAGCAGGAAAAGGTGTGGGCGCATGTGCTTGGCGCGCTGAACGACGAATTGCGCCGCATGGGACAACCCTCTCGCAAGCAAATACCGTGGCACGCGCTGGTGTCGGGCACGATTGGGGTCAAGGCGCGCAATGGAACGGAAAAGCGCAAGTTTGACCTCGTCAACTGGCCCGCCCAAGTCCCGAAGCGCAAAAAGCTGGACGAAGCCCAGTGTGCGCTGCTTCTCCAGAACTTGCCCGCGGTGCACGTCGCCATCTCGGACACGTCGTTGGCAGGCGAGGGCGCCGACGACGACGACGGCAATGTTGGCGGTGAGGTTTCCAAGGAAGGAGCCGACGAAGAGCATGATGACGACGCGACCGAGGACGGCGACAGTCCCAAAGTTTGAGAAAGGAGTTGATAACAACATGACAATATGAATGCATACTGCACGTAATATTCTGGAGTTGTGTTCTAAATAACGAACGACATTTATAATTATATTTGGTCCATTGTTCAACGATTGGTGGAAAATCGAAAAATCTTCCAAATATGTTTCGCGACTTTGCCAAGCGCATTGCAACCGGCGCGACCATCCTCACAGTGTCCGTGGGTGGCACTGCCGCGACGATCGAGCTGTGCATCTATCACACCGATGCCACTGCGAAGGAAGAGCGCTTGGATTGGGAAACCAACCTATTGCCCCTGCGAGCTATCGCACAGGCCAAGTTGATCGAGGTGGACGACAGCAGCAATACTGCCGACAAGGAAACGCTCCAACACGTCCTCGATCGCGTGGCCAGTGGCGAGGCCGCCGTGCAGGGTCGAGAGGCCGATGTGATAGAGATGAAGCAAAGTTGGACCGAAGCGAAGGATGCTGTGCGTCGTTTCTTGCATGTGTCTCCGCCGCCGCCGTAGAGGAATTAATCCTTCCACGAAACCCCCATAGAATTCACCAATGGAACGTTAACATCAAGTGTCGTGTTCCGTTCTTCAAACACATTTTCGACGCCCAGCAACACACACATCATGGCCAAACTATGTCCAGGGGTTGCCCCCGTGAACTTTGCCAAGGCCAAGTCTGATTACCCGGACCTCCGATACGCCATCGAGGCGGTGGAATCCAAGCCGGTGGCGACGTGGTATACCGATCGGAGCCAGTATCTTGCGGAAGCAATAGCCACGTTGGCGGCATGCGCGCCGCGGAACGGACGCCTGGACACGCTACCAACGTTCGTCGTGTACGGCCTACCCAATAAGGATTGCCACGGAACGTTTTCAGGCGACGGCGTGAACCAAAATGCAGCGGATTACATGGCATTCGTGTCGAAATTGGCGTCGCTGGTTGGAACACAGGATGCGTTGTACGTGCTGGAGCCGGACGCGATGGGACTGCTCGCGGAAAGCCCCTCGGCGTGTGGATGGGACAACAACTACCTGCCCAACATGGCCATGGCCGTGAAGTTGCTAACCCAAAACAACCCCGCCGCGAGACTGTACGTGGACGTGGGCTGGTGGACCTTCAAGGAAGACGCGCGCGTGACGTCGCTCGTGGCACTCATGAAGATCCTCGCCAAGGCCGGCGCCGTGCGCGGCATCGTCCTCAACACGTCCAACTACCGGTCCAACGACGAATTGCTCCAGTGGTGTAAAGTGTTCATCGACGCCACCCCTGGTAAGATACCACTCGTTGTTGTAGCTCCGAGAACATAGACAATTGAACCGCGTGAATCAACGTCGTGATGGAATGATATGGTGTATAATGGGTAGGCATGAACTTCAAGTGCGTGTTCGACACATCCCGCAACTACCACGGCGCGTCTCCAACAGGAGAATGGTGCAATGCCAACACGGCTGGCATTGGGTACGTCCAAAGCGATATTACATAACTAGTATATATTTGCATGTCATGTATCAATACTGCCAAGACATGGACTTCCCTATGACGTCCCTGTATTGGGATGTTCGGTCCTTGTATTGGGAATAATCCCATTTCCGCCCCACTGTCTCCAGAATTTTTACACTGTAGTTGTAGGCTACCCCCCACCGACCAAACAGGGTCCGACTTGGTCGAGTACTTTTTGTGGCTGAAGACACCAGGACAGTCGGATGGCGCGTGCAACGTCGGCGTGAGTGCCGACGCGATGCCCGGGCCGGCCGCCGGCGAATTTTTCGAAAAAGGGTTCAGCATGATGTTTGACAACGGGTTCTTTGTGGAAAAGGGGATCCTGCCCAAGATTGGCAAGTACACCGTGGGGAACAGCACGGGAACCAACGGCACGTCCATCTCGGGCGCGACCATCGGCATCGTGGTGGGTGTGGTCGTGGCCGTGGCGGCGCTGGTTCTGGGCGGCGGCATGTGGATGAAGAAGCGACACACGAGGAGCAAGAACCCGCCGCGGAAGCAGCCAAACCACAACACGTCACGCCCACGCACGGGATTGGAGACCAAAGTGTAGGGGTAGTGTACTACGGCTCCGTCTGGAAATATATATATATATATATACGCCAGTTTTGATTGTTTTGTGGATTATTATAGCCCTGGCCACGCCGGTCGATTGTCGGCCGATTCTTTGACGAGTTCGGTTTTGAACAATTCGATAAACTACAACAAATGGTCATGTAAAGGAAAGAAGATATGGGAATGTATGTCGTCTATAGCTTGGTTACCTGCTGATCCATCATGCGTGGCTTGGGATGGGAGAAGCGAATGTATTCGTCAAAGATGGAACTGAACGCCCATCGCTGGACCTTGCGCAGACACCCGACAAGGCATCCCGTTCGATGCTACGTCCGTCGATTCGTTAGCAACGAGATAGGATGGAAGAAGGATGCAAGGACAGTGACGTACCTTGCCTTTGTTGCAGTGGATGAGCATGGGGTGATTCCGTTGATCTAGCGCTTTCGTCATGAAATACACACAACGGCGAATGCATACGTACCCAAGACAGCACTGAGCGCGGCGGCGATGCCCTTTTCCGGGATATCCACGAATGGTTCCTAGCAGCATGGGTGAGAATGACCAGCATACCCGATACACGTGTGACGGTCAGTCAGGACACAACCTTGTTGCCTGGGACGCCGAATTGCAGCAGTGTCACGTTGTTGAGTTTGTTGAATTCGTTGTTCGACAGCGGGTAGTCCTCCAAAACCAATGTCCTACGCTTCATGCTCGTGACGATGATTTGGGAAGGCAGACATACACACGTACAGGATGGACTTGAGCCCCAATGTGCGCAGGAACGTGAAATTCTTCTTCTTGGGAAACCCGCCTGCATGTGTCGTCGATCACAAGTCTCGGGATGAAGATCAAGAGACATACTCCGATACAGCCCACGCTCCACCATGGCAAAGTTCTCCGGCGGAATCAACTCCTCATACTCCGCGTCCACGTCGTCGTCTTTGCGCTGCCCTTCCAATTGCCCGTTCATCGCGCAGGCAAATGGGAAGTACGACGCTGATTCGTCAAAAATTCAGTAGTATATCCAATGAAACGTCGACATTTGGAAATATATGAACGATGTGATTCATCAGAAAGGAATTATTGTGCTTTTCAGTCAAGTTTGGGGGATTGATGAAATCGCCAACTAATCGTGCAAAGGAGTATGATTGGCTACAAAGAATGGTGGTTGCAATTTTATTGGCTAAAAAGATTGATTGTATTGTGCTTTCGAGTGAAATTTCGTGTTGTGGCGTGGTTTCTCGTTGGAATTTAAATTCAACCAATCAGATCGATTGTGGATCGGTTTGGTCGATTGCACCCCCTCCCCAAATTTGTATCAAATCGACAATAACTAGTTAGTATTGCAGTCACAAAGATACCTCTTCAACTTAGTTTTATATGCAATTTCGAAGGTCCGGCGATTGTTCGGCGGTTCACTGTCAACCAAAATTTGTGAGTAGACCACACAATATCGATGTGGTATGAAATGAATGGATTTAATATCCAATCAACAACGAGTAGCAGAAGTATAGCGAAAATTGCAACGAGTAGCAGAAGTATAGCGAAAATTGTGAAAATATTCGTGATATTTATAGGCTGCATTAATTGACCGCTCACACGACAGGTGATATGGGTATGGTCGAAGCCGATTGGTTATAAATCACATTTCTCATAAATATATCTATAGTCATTGTCATGGTACTGTACTGTAGTGGGAATCGCGTAGGGTCCGAAAGGCCCCGGTTTCAATACTATCTCTTTCGTTTCGTTTTTCTACATTGACCAAGCCTTATATTTCGAAGTTGTAGCGAGCGAACGTTACCCCGACGAGGCCTATTCAACGACAGAAGTACTTTTACTTGATGTTTGTATTGAGGCAAAACATATCCGATTATAACCAATCCGAATTGAATGCACCATATCACCGTCGTGTGAGCGGTCTATTAATGGGCTCTTGATATTCTTTTCAGCCACTAACATTACACAAGCATTTCTTGAAATTTCCTCCAGCTGGCATTGCAGTACACTTGGTTTTTGCGTATTTTTTGCAATCTGTACAATTCAAGACCAGATGACCTTGAGGCCTTGTCCATAGTACAAGGAAGGTACATGGAAGGATTGATATGTGGTGATAGGATCGCAACTTGGCAGCAACAAAGGCACCGAGAAGTGCAGAGTTCTCCGGATAAGAACTTTTTGTATCATGTTATGCGGAGATTTACATTTGGTGTTTGTATACACGGTATGTGAGTAATAATCACTGTAATGTGGTCGTTGAAAGGTCCAGAGACTAAGGTTCGCCAGCCTGGCGTCATTGCACAACCAACGATGAAGCGCCAAGGTAAACAATCCTTCGACATTCGTTAGCATCATGAGGACCAACCACCCCTGCTGCATTGGTGTGTAGACTCCGACACCTTTCAGCGCAACTCTAGCTTTGGCGACACTGCCATGCTGCCAGTCCCTGGGGACGCCCCAGTGTCCAAAGGCAAAGGCAAGCGCATCGTCATCATTGCTGCGGCCGCCGTGCTTGTTGCAGGAGGTGTCACGGCTGCCATCGTCCTGTCAAGTGGCAATGGCAGCGGCAGCGATGCCAATTCGACGTCTGGAAACAAGGGCACCAACACCCCCGTCGTCTCCCCTGCCAAAAACGTGACGGCCGAGGACTTGCTGGGCACGACGAATCCTCCTGCACCTGGTGCGACCACGACCCCTGCTCCTTCGCCTGCTTCCGATCCTGAAGCTGGTAAGGCTGCGCTCACCATGCTCGCCATTGGCGACTGGGGTAGTACCACCGGCAAGAAGTCTGGCAACACACTGGATGACGCCGGCGACCCTGGTTCTTGCTGCAAAACGTACGGTGGCAGTGGAGCCAACGCCAACAAGGTCAACCCGTCCAAGGCTCGCATCAAGGTTGACTACTGGGCGCAACTGTATGTGTCTACGATTCTGGCCCAATCTGCTGGCGAGCTCAAGCCCAAGCCAGCCCGAGTGATTGGTCATGGCGACAACATCTACTGGGATGGTGTTGGACCTGGCGATATTGCTTACCGCATGGAAGAAACGTTTGAGAAGAAGTATGCGCAGCCGGCATTGGCAGGCATCAAGTGGGTCAACGTCGCTGGCAACCACGACATTGGCGGCTCGGAGTACATTTGTGGCGAAAAGGACTACAACTTTGTCAAGTGCAAGGACACGGCCGAAATGCTCAAGTACCTGGACCTCAAGTTCGATCTCCAAGCGCAATACAAGAGCCCGAATCAGGACCGGTGGCTCATGAAGGACCACTACTACGTCGAGTCGGTTAAGAGCGAGGACGGCAGCGTCTCTGTGGATATCTTCAACCTGGATACAAACCACGCCGACTCTCACGGACTACAGCAAGTGTGCTGCCAATGCTACGGATATTCAAGAGAAACCAAAACCAAATGCACGGGCAACGAAATGCCTGGAGATGCCAACTGCGCTGGCGGGGATAAGGCCATGTTTAAGGCTTGCCAAGACAAGATCGAAGGCTGGGCCAAGGCTTCGTTGGACGGCGCGGCGCGGGATTTGGCCAAGTCCACGGCCACGTACAAGATCATCAACACGCATTACTCGCCGCACTTCCATATGGGCGAGCCCAAAATGCTGACGTGGTACAACTTGACGAAAACCTATGGGGTTCACGCCTGGTTCAACGGTCACACCCACGGGTTTAACCATGACGTGGCCAAGTGGAACACGCACTTCTTTGAGAACGGCGGCGGCGGCGGTATTTTCACGGACACTTCGACGGAAGGCAAGAACGACTTCGTTGATACCCTGTGGGTGGCTGGCGGCAACCCGTACGGGTTTATGGAGTTGAGTTTTACCAAGGACTGGATGAAGGTGAACTTTGCCACGTTCGACAAATCTTGGGACTTTGGGGGGTTCAACTACGAAGCGACCAAGTCGGGCGGGATTGCGCGGGGTCATTGTTGGTACATTCCTAGCATCCAAGGCACCAAAGGTGTCAAGTGCAAGGCGTCCAACGATTTGCCCCTGGGGGCCCCCATCATGCCAGACAATGCGTAGGTGTTTTTAATTGCAAAAAGCTCGTTCCTGAACTAATATAAATAACGGCGGCCAAGCCATCCTTCCTTGAAGAGGGTTTATAGATAATGCTACGATATGCTTATGGCTAACTACGTATCCGCGAAGCGGGGGACTTCGTTTGGTTTCTATTCGTGAATGATCCAATGCATCCAATCAGAGAATTAAAAATGGATTGCAAATCAGGATTGCTCTTTACATGTTTGAATTTTTTTGATTGGTTGGAATTGCCATGTTTCATGTTGGAACTTTTGTGGGATCGAAAATATTGCAACGCACAGTAAATTAGATGGGGTCGCATTAACAGCTAACTAACTGTAAAGGCGATTTCTTGAGCTGATGCTTCGTCTCATTGGAGATAATTCTTCTTTGTAGGCAGAACCGGGCCCTCTTGCTCTTCTTTGTGGAGAGAATTAGCATAACTTGTGCTACTGCTTTGCACAACCTCTGATTGGCAGATATTGTATGTAGTTGGGATGAATGACATTTTGCGGCAGCAATTCCCTCGTGCAACAGTAGTTGGGCCTCCTGGCATACAAAACCCAAGTTATTTCTGGCACATAGTCAAATCAAGTGTAAATTCAAAACAAGTCATTTCAGTGGTTAGCTAGCGCTAACCACTGTTGATGCAGTTTAACCCCGGGAATAGCATTGTATGAAGCCCAAGGGCTCCAAGGGTTCCGGGGGTTATAGGGGCTCTTGGTAAAAATGATTACGTAACAACAGTGCTACTGTTGCAAGGGAGGGGAAATGTTCCATTTTTCAGTTACTGTAATATCGAAAAATGACTGGTACTATTACCGGTAACGTTACTATAATAGTACTACACCTTTTTGCAGTTAAGTTGGACGAATGCCCGGTATATTTGGTCGTGTGCCCGATATATTTGGCGGTGTGTCCGATATAATTGGTCATGTGCTCGTTAAAATTGGCACCCGGATGTCGTGTGCCCGATATATTTTTGGGCGGTGTGCCCGATATAATTGGCCGTGTGCCCAAGCAATTGCCCATGTGCCCGATGAAAATGGAAATCACGCAATAAAAGTCAATTCAATATAGAAATGGTCGTCAAATGACACATGACGCATCGTTGCTGTGACGTCACATACCAATGCTCATGTTGCCCATGGCCTCCGCGCGTCCATCGTGGGTGCGTTCCTTGAGGTAAATCGAAAAATGAGCTCTGCGCGCGACAGATTCAAAACAATTTGGTGGGAGTTGAAGTAACGTTATGGACGAAACGTTGAAGTATAGGGGCAACAGTATACTTTGTTCAAGTAAAAATATCGACTTCAATCGAAGTACAGTATTCACTGGAATAGAATACACTGTTATTAATATATCGACTTCAATGGATTGACTTGAATAAAGTAAGTATACTGTTGCCCCTGTACTTCAACGTTTCGTCCATAACGTTACTTCAACTCCCACCAAATTGTTTTGAATCTGTCGCGCGCAGAGCTCATTTTTCGATTTACCTCAAGGAACGCACCCACGATGGACGCGCGGAGGCCATGGGCAACATGAGCATTGGTATGTGACGTCACAGCAACGATGCGTCATGTGTCATTTGACGACCATTTCTATATTGAATTGACTTTTATTGCGTGATTTCCATTTTCATCGGGCACATGGGCAATTGCTTGGGCACACGGCCAATTATATCGGGCACACCGCCCAAAAATATATCAGGCACACGACATCCGGGTGCCAAATTTAACGAGAACATGGCCAATTATATCGGACACACCGCCAAATATATCGGGCACACGACCTAATATACCGGGCATTCGTCAAACGTAACTGCAAAAAGGTGATTCATGTAATTACCGGCCAGCTTGGCCTACTTTCTGAGTGCCATAACTCGTCACCCATTCATCCGATGAGGCTGCAAAAACATGCATTTTGAAGATCATGACGAGCTTTATAACTTTATGCAGGTCCCATCATTTGTATCGCATGGTCAATTTGCTCGTCGAATTTCTAAAATTGAAATTTCCTGTGTGAATTTAATTCCCGGCCAGTAAGCCATTTGAATAATGTATGCCTGATTTGGGTGACAAAATCCTCAGAACCTCTTAATAATGATATGTATAAAGTGTTCAAGTAATTAAATTTAGAAGTGAAACTAATACAAAAACTCTATTACATGTCGGAGAAGCATGATATTAAATCTTACAAGTATGTGATACAAGAATATGTAATTTTGTCCAATCATCGTCCATGGATGATTGTGATTGGCCATTTGCTGGCCAGGAATTACATGAATCACCTTACTATTAAAATAGTACGAAACACTATAGCATTATACTATTACTTCGAAGTAATAGTATTCCGTAGAATCCCATTTACAGTTAATTCGGATGGAATGTTGATTTCGCATATCATATACTACCTGGTCCACAATGATCGTTAGAGTTTCGTTTTATTGGCGGAATTTTTTCTACAACACCTCGGATAGCACTTCTGATTGGTTCTTTAGAAAGCGCAGGATCTCAGCTTTGATTGGACGCATTGTGAGTGCAAATTATGAGGGGGAAAAATGCCAACGAGTGCTTGAAGCATCAAATTCTTGCGCCAGTCATAACTCAATTTGACACCCAATCGACTGCACCTTCCGTTACTAACGTTTCAGTGTTGATCTATGCCACCCACGAGCACACACTCAGCATCAAACCTGGGCCGAGCAAGTCACCTACGAAATCTCTCCGAGGTCGATCGCTGCGGAGCTTACGAGATGCTTCTCGCACGCATGCACCACGACCAACTACCATATGGAGCAGTATCGGATGTGGCTCGGCACTTTCAGTGCCACAGGGTTACCATATCACGACTCTGGAAAAATGGACGCCTCTCTCTCCTCCACGGTGCTCCGATGGCGGACATCGCTGCCAAAATTCGAGGTATGTATGACCTCTATAAAATTATATATGGATGTAAACCATGAATTTCGAGAAGTATGCAATTTTAAAGGATTTCTGTTTTTGGCAATTCTGGGTGGAAAGCACGGCGATCCGTCGAAATAATTGAAGCGACGATCAAGGCCGTGCCCCAAGAAGATCGCCAAACACAGCGCTCCCTCGCCGCACACAGTGGCATACCCCAGACGACCATCATGCGCCACATGGCAGCAACCAAGAAGCCCATGCCGCATTCAAGCCATGTCAAACCATTCTTGACGGACGCCAACAAGACCAAGCGCCTGCGTTTTGCGATGAATTTTCTCTTGCCTGGGTCAAAAGGGAGACACTTCTTTGAGAATATGTTGAGAAAATATAGGTACATATCGATGAGAAGTGGTTCTTTTTGACTCAGGTTAAGAGAAAATTCTACGTATACGAAGATGAAGAACTGGCCCATCGCGCCGCCAAAATCCAAACGATTATCGCAAAAGTAATGTTTTTGGCCGCCGTTGCACGTCCCCGGTACGATCCCCACCTACGACAAGAATTCGATGGAAAGCTGTGTATTTGGCCGTTTGTCCAACGCGTGCCAGGAGCTAGAAATAGTTAAAATCGCCCAAAAGGAACTCTTATTGTCACGCCGCAAATTGTCGAGTTACAGGTCTATTTCGACTGTGTTGTGAACAATGTGGTGCCTACAATTCTGGCGAAATTCCCCCAAGGTTGCCTACATCAAGGTGTGCATATTCAACACGATAATGCTGGCCCCCACCGGCGCCTGACAACCCATATTTTGCGGTCCAACGGTGTTAACCGTATCAGCATGTCAAATCAGCCTCCGAATAGACCAGACTTCAACGTCCTAAATTTAGGTTTTTTCAATGCTATTCAAAGCCTGCAGTACCAGAGGAGAACTCGTACAATCGAGGAACTCATTGGTGCTGTTGAATGTGCATTTTTTGAGATGCCTGTCAAAACTCTGGCGAAGACATTTGTTACGCTACAAAATGTTATGGACATCCATGGAGGTGCTCCGGGGCAATAACTATAAGCTTCCGCATCTCAAAAAGGATTGTACGATTGAAGACCTGTCGACTTTCAAAGTTCATTGTGCTGCGTCAACGTACAGTAGCGTTCATGCTCAATTGAATTCGCAAGTCTAAGTACCTTGAACCAAATATGTATTAAATTAAATTTCAATCGGTGTTTATGCGTTGTCGAGGTTCAATACAAAAGCCAAGTTACTTTTTGCCCTAGTGTATACTTTAATCATGTCAAAATACCGTAACGATCATTGTGGACCAGAGCAGTATATTATTTCGACAGCCGTTGCCGATGTGCACTCACATGGAGACGTACGAAGCCGCTCATGTCGTCTTTGATGATTACAGTAGCTCATTTCTGAGGCCACCCATCTGCTGATGAGGTCGTTCCACAAATTGTGTCTTCACCGGCGACACATTCCACCACATATGGAAATGTTGTCATAGTCAGCGCCCGCCGCTGAAGCTTGTGGACCTGATACTTGGCCATGGTGGAGTTCGACCCCAACGGGATGAACATGTACACAAGGTTCCGATGGTCGGTAAAGAGCGGAACCGTCAGGCCGAATCAGGAGGTATCACAATCGTTTGCAGAACTCAACCACCGCAAACGCCTCCTTCTCAACATTCGGCCATCGCTCGCTCGAACCTTGGAAAGCGCCACTGAGGAACGCCAACGGTTCATGTCGCTGGTCATTTGCCGGCATCGCGAGATCCTCGGAGGGGACTTCAGTTACAATTGCCCCCCAAAAACCCTCACTTGCATCGATGTAGTGGCACACCACCTTATCAGGGTCCGGTTGGGATAGAGGTACCACAAGGAGTAGCGTCGCTTTGAACCGCTCGAAACAGGTCAAATGATCCTCGGCCCATACGAATGAACTTAATGCCACCTTTGTCAACATGGACTTCTTGCGGGAGTCGGGCGCTTTAGCTGCGATATCCTTCAACCTCGTCAATGGGGCAACTAGCTAAGTGAAATTTCTCTCCCACACCAAATCGTCGGAGTCGTGTAAAATGAGCACTTGTTCGGATTGCAACTTCAAGGAGGGGTAGCAGATCCCCAGTACTTGTCGGAGCAACTGCAAAAGCTCCATGGTCACACCGGCGTATCCCAGCAAGTCGTCAAGCCATTTGAGGACACAATGCATAAGCCGAATAGTTCGTCGACCACACCTTGACTATAGGCCACTGCGTCAGCCTGCCCCATCAACAGCCGGGCTGGCGTAATGACATCAACTGGCCTCATGAAGGAGTAATACTCATGGGAATCGGGGTGTAAAGGCAGTTGACAGTAGCCCTTCATCCAATCCAGCGTAAAGTAGTCGCGCGAGTGCTTCAGCATGCCCATTGCGACGTCGAGGTTAGGCATCGTCCAAGGCATCAGCTCGGTGCACGCATTGTGGCCTCGATCGAGTCAATCGTCATCCGCAGGTTGCCCGGGTTTTTCTTCGGGACAATCCTCGGGACAGCCCGCCAACGTGACCAAGAGTTCTGACACACTAAGCCCGCCTCATCCAACTCCCGCACATGGTTCACGAGAAACACCATGTGGGTCGGAGGGTAACGTCTGAGCCCTGACTTCCCGGTACAGCCCCAGGCTTGAGGTGCACCTTCAAAGGCTTCACTCGGACTGGAGGATCTCGCCCAAACCTCAGTCGGAAAATATCTTTAAACTTCAACGGCGGAGTCCTCCCAGATGCTGCCTCTGCCACCTTGGCCATCAGTCCAAGGTGTCCCCTCAAAGACACTTTATGGCGTTCACCGGCCTGAACGCCACTTTTTCTACACCAACCAAACAACGGTTGGTTGCGCGTAGCTTAGTGACAGCGTAGGAGATTTAACGCTATCAATTCATTCTTCATTCAACTATCACCTGTGCCTTCCTCTGCGCACGCTCATACTTGGTAGCACTCCACGTTCATCCAGTAGACCACCACCATGTCCTCCACCCACACAGCAGCGCATCAGGCGGTCCTCGCTTTTTTTGCGTCGCGGCTTTGGCGTACAGCGCTACTCCTCGGCAGGATGTCCCCCGAAGTTCAAGCACGCCTTGTAGAAGGCATCGGTAGCACGATTAAACTCTCTGTCGCTGAGTCTACGGTAGCATCCACCACTGCCCACGCGACGCTGGAAGAACAAATGGCCCAAATGACTTCGTATGGGCGCAACCTCGAAGACTACCCCCTCGTTGCCCGTGAGACAATGGCGACCTTGGAAGAGCAGGCTTCCGCCATGTTGACTCATGACCGCACCCTCCAGTGGATTCCCTCTGACTCGCCCAAGATAAGAATGCGCACCTGGCGCGCGCTTAAGAGTCATCGGACCACTCATCGGCTTCTCGTCTGAAGCCGATCAAAGCGGAAGTCGACAAGTTCGGTGGTGCGGAGTCAGACAAACTACTCCGCTGGCTTTTGTAAGTCAAAACCGCTGCAGACGCCCAGCGCATCTCAGACCAAGCCACATGCGTGGCATTTGCGATATCGCACCTGAAAGAACGCGCGGAAGATTGGGTGATCTCCAAACGCTTGATGGATCCCCTATGCTTTCCGTCCTTCGCGACTTTCGAGGTCGAACTCAAGGCGATGTTGTTACCACTCAACAGCGATTTCCGCTATCGCTCGCAATATTTGGCGTGCAAGCAAGGAAAACGTTTCCTCCAGGAATTCATCCATGACCTTCGCTTCTTGGCAGCGATTGTTATCGATGAAGAATCCCTCCCCGAGCCCTTGCGCGTGGCCATAGTCATGGTCGATCTCAACCAAGGCCCCGCGAGCACACAGTTGTTCCGCGCCTACCCGCGGACCTTCGAAGAAGCCGTCCGCATCGCGCTTTCAGAGTCGTTCTCCTTCGCGCATGCGCGCGCGGATCTCTCGGGTACGGATATTGCAGTACACGAAGTACATACAATACAACATGGGTACACGAAATAGGTATAATACAACAAGGGTTCACGAAGTACATTGGGGGGCTTCCAAAAATACTCCCAGATAGCATCTCAGACCAAACATTATTCAGATATAAGAGCGCTCTCAGACTAATCTGAGAAGGCATCTAAGATGGAGCTCCCATGTGAGCTCTCCAAAATTACCTCAAGCAGATTAGCCAATTTTATTCAGTAAAATGGTTTCAAGCTTCCTGTTTCTTTGCGCTTACGAGGACAACTACCGACGCACGGTGCTGCCTTGCATGCTTCTGCTTCGCATACGACCATTCCTCCGCGAGCGTAACGATTTCGCTGTGTAACATTGAACTGGATAGCCCATGGTACAATATGTACCACAGCCGCAACGTGCCATCGTTTATCGCAGCTGTGTGAATTCCACCAGCCACCTTCGACGATCTCTTTGCTCCATTCGACAAATACTACTTGGTACAATCTGGTGAGGGTCGGCTAGGATGACCGACTCGAATACAACATAAGCATTGCGTGCTCGCACTTGTCCTACACTACTACACCCACGCGACAGAATCGAAAACGTTGTGCGAGTTGTTTGCCGTGCCACCATCAACTTTGTCGAGGGTTTTGTCAAATGGCGAATTGGCCCTGTCATTGGCTCTGAAGGACATCGCAGGCGCAGGTACACGCTGGCCGTCGTTTCAGCAGCAGAATGTATGGGCTCAAGCCACTGAACAACGCGAGCCACTGGTTCAAGTTTTTTTTGCTTTTGTGGATGGCAAAAACATACGTGTTCAAGAGCCATCGTCAGCAGATTTAAAAAATGTGCTGCACATGGTATGAAATATATTCTCTATAATTCTTAACGCATAAATGGTACCATATTTTTTCTTTATTTAGAACGTTTTGTTCCAGCTTTTACGAAATCAATTTCATTGGCTAGAATTATCCGTATTCCATATATTGATCCAGCTTTTCGCTTGGTCAAAAGCTTAGATTCATCATCCCAGCTTCGTACCAGTAATTCCAACTTTTGCAATCTGGTTTGCAATTCACGGCAGCCATGTCTGACGATGAAGACACTGCAGTGCCGGAAGCGCAGGCAGGTTGCTATGTTATCTACCTATACTACAGCACACTCAATGAAAAGTTAGATCTGCCGACACCGAACGCGAAGCCGATCAAGCGCAAGGGCAAGTCGCCGTCATAGGCCGTCAAACGATCCGTGCGGTGGGACGACGAAAGTGTGGCGGAACTCTTTCGCCTGCGCTACAAGTCGCATTTAACGACAAGGTTCGACTCGAAGAACAACGCGGTAAAGAAGATCGTGTACGTGATGCTGGCGTCGGAGATCAGCGTGGCGATGGAATGGGACTTGTCTGCGGCGCAGGTCCAAGACAAGGTAAGAAATCATACATTTATCGTTTAACTCACATGTATTAGTTCGGCAAGTTGAAGACATCGTGGTTGTTGACGAAGCCCTCGAACCCAAGCGAAACAAGGTACGCTCCTTTGGCACCATTGCCTCCCATTACGACGTAATGATGGAGTACTGGAGCTCAAAAAAAGGATTTCAGCGTGAATCACTGATGCCATATTCGACGACGGCAACAATTCCTCGGACGGTAGAAATATTGTTCTAATATATGTGATATGAATTCGAAACTTTGTTGACTTGTGAAAGTATTTGTTGCATAGATATCATATTAAAGCGCGAGCACAGTTCGGACACGGACTACGACAGCGACAAGCCACCGGGGCGTCGGAAGAAGCGCGCAAAAGTCTCGAAAGCGAGCACTCATGGCGAGGCGTTGGAAGTTGGGTTCTTAGCTATAAAGGAAGGTTTGATGCACATGGGAACATAACCTTCAGATGCGGCACCAATCCTGCCGCCCCAGCCTGCCCCTGGTACTACACTAGATGATGTATTGCGTGCAATTCAGGGACAATCCGACACCATGGCAATCTATAATTGAACTATTTTTGCACTTTTGTCAACACTCCACCTTCCTCATCCGCAAGTATGGGGTCAACAGCCAAGGGAGTAACGTGTATCCAGAATTACCAATTAGGAAACATCCAGTAGGCAAAACACGTCGAATACTCTGGCCAACTAATGATACTTTCCAAATATATTTATCGGAAAATGAACCGGGCCGAATATCCACAGACATAAACACCATTCTACAATTGCTTGTACGTTTAGTGACGGATCACCATTTCGATTGTAAAAACCGTCGTACTCTTTTGGTCGCTGAATATCAATCAGGGTGCCATCAACAGCTCCAACAACACCCGGTAACTTTTGCGACATATAGAAGCCTCGCTCAATACGATACCATGCACGAGAGTCAGTGGGGAAATGAATCCACTTGTTAGCATTTATGGACACCACCCGAACAAATGACGAAACAACACTAATACACCAAGACTTAGCCATGCCAAATGCAGCCGAGGTTTCACGGTAACCACCCTCGTAACCTAATAATATAGAGATACAGCAACCTTCTTTTCAAACGAGCGCACCGAACTACGCCTAGAGTATTTTGGCATGCGTTGGCGAAGTCACACAACTACCTTACAGAACGCTTGCTGATCACAGCGAAGGTTGTCACAAAACGATTGATTGTATCGAGGGTCACCAAGCATTTCATCAAAGTTCACATTCGTAATCGTCAGTATGTTGTACTTCCTCTGTTCCAAAATTGATGTCCGACTCAGAAAGTTGGCGTACTCCTCCCATCATTTAAATTTGGAATCCTGCAAATATCTATATTGTGTGCTTTTGTCTGCTAGCTCTTCACCAAAGCCTTTTGCCAGTCGTGGCATGAAACTACCGACGCCGTCCGTAAGAAGCTCCTCGCTTGTCAGGTCACGACAAGCGAGCAGCCCATTGTGGAATGAATGTATTTGGGAAGGTGACAGCAGCATTTCAAACTTACCTTATGTTATTATACAGGGACATGTACACCCTCCCCAAACTCGGACAACAATTTTGGAACGGAGGAAGTACTTACTAGCCGTCGAGCTAGTGCTCGTAGCCACCGAAATGCACACGGCGCAGACAACAGCAGCAACATCACCTTTCAATCGATCCATTGCACTCGCAACCATTCAAAAGCTGGAATGGTTGGCAGACCAGGTTTGAGGGCACAATCCGAATAAACTTTATCCGTAAAAGCTGGAATGCCCAAAAGCTGGAACAAAACGTTCACATACCAGGCTCTTACATGTTTGCTCGGGATATTTTGGTAAGTACTCCTGTCAAGTTAATATGTTGTTTCACAGAGTGGCTTTATTCGGTTTTCGTGACGGGGTGTACTCTGCTACGGCGTCGACGGCACATTGATCTGGGGTAGGCATACTTGCCGAGGATCATGGTATAATAGTGAGATGAGTCGCGGGTTACAAGACCTCCTTGCTGACAGTCGATTTTGAATGGGCAGTGTACCGGTCGAATTGTTTACCGATCAAACAAGGAGATCTCGAAAGAGTATCCCCCGACTGTCGTCTTGGACTACAAGCCATGAGCGACGCAATAACCTCGCTACGACAAGTCGTTGGTGGGAAATGGGTGCTGCTGTGAAAATGTACCGTCAACTGGATCTAAAGTTGCCCTACAATCCTGACTTACGTGAGCGACGTTTACGGAACATATTTCGCTAGTACAATTTTAGAATAAGGCGCGCAGAAATTAGTCAAATAAAACATGTGTTTGGAGTTTGAATTAAGTGGACTCGTAATGGTATTTGATCTTGATGGAGTTTGTATAAAATGCATTACATCAATTCTCATAAAGTAATTTGATCTACTACTTTTTGGAGCATCTCCGAGCAATTTCATCGTGATTGCCATCTGTAATTGTTCTTGGCGAGCGCGGTACTCGTTTTCATCGCTCCATCTGCGCTCTTCACGCTCATCGCGCAGGAACTGTTGCTGATATTCTCGCTCTTCGCGGACGATGTGTTGTTGCCCCTTACGTTCTTCGCACTCGTCTTGGCGCTTTTCTTTGCGTCTTCCATAAGACAGAACATCGACATCATGTCGTTGCTCGCTGATTGTTGCTTGCCGGCCTGGTCAAAAAATGCATCCAAACTTTGGCGACGTTTCGCCACCGCAGACAATGACGAAGCTGATGGCGTTCCTTCCGACGCCTTTCTAAGCTGTTTCCCATCATGGTGCAGACTGTCTTGAGACCACCCTGAACGGTTCGGCTTTTCTTGTAAAGACGTCTTTTGTGGCTTTCGAGGAAGAAGCGATTGGCTTGTGTCAATTTCTTCCTTGAAAATGATGTTGTCGGTGACGTCAATCTGACTGTCACCGTTGTCGCGTTATATCCGACGTAACGTCGACAGTTGGGAGGTGGTCGACGTCTTGGTGGAAGAATTTTTCGAGATCATCCGCATTCATCTCGCTTTGTTGTCCAAGACCTCGACCGCCGCACGACTGTCGATGTCATGCTGAATGCGCTTGGCTCGGACGACGAGTGGTGGACAGTTGGGGTCACCAGTTGGTTTCTTCACCGACTTGAGGAACGTGAACTTCCGTTTGCAAGCCTCCCAGTCCCGTGCAAATGCCACGTCGTTGTGCGCGTTGAACTGCTGGGTGACCTTGGCCCAACCATTTTAATCGATTGGGACGAGATCCTGAATGCAGTCTAGCAGGATTTCGACATCTTTGTCGTTCCAGTTTGGCGCTGATCGCTTCAAAGCAGCTAGTGGTGGCCGCATTAGTTGCCATATTTGTTTTTCGAAACTGACGTCTGAGATCTAAGGTTCTTGCATGTGCGAAGACGATATATGGTCTTCGCACATCTGAGGTCGACTTAGATTGGTCAAAATTGAAAGTCTGATATTTTCTCACATTTGGCCTCTGAATCAAAAACATAATTACTGTTCATATTAACCGATATACGGGATATAATCCACACTATGATCAAATACAGAGATGAAACTAGAAAACACAATCTTTGGTAATAAGATCGATAATGCTCGAATAGATCGAGAAAAACAGGAATTGACATATAGTTTGATCAGATACTTTAACCACCACACACTCCAAAATGCGTACAGTTTCACCTCCATCCCTGAGCGTTTCCAAGTCCAATCTGCCTTGGATCGCCTTTTCCTTGAAGAGAGCCTACATGACTTCGGACCAGAGCTTGCCGAAGTTGACGAAAGCCACGATTACGTCAATGAGATGACCGACAAAGCAGTCAAGGAGAGCGGTCCTGAGGGTTTTCGCGTGCTCACCAATTTCACGCCAGACGAGTTTGAATCGGTCTGGTCTATCGTCGAGTCAACGTTGACTTGTCGACAGAATGATGGGCGCGAGCGTAAGTCAAAGACAACACCAAAAGACGCTATATTCGTTACGTTAGTCGTTCTCAAGCACTACCAAACATGGGATAAGCATGCCCTCGATTTCGGTATGAAGGCACCGACGTTGGAGAAGATGGTCATGCGGGTTATCTACACTGTCCAGCCTATTCTGTGTGACCACTTTGTGACGATGCCGACAATGACGGACCTGCGTGGGAAGGACGCCGTGTTCCGTAACTACCCCTACACCAAGTATGCGACCGATGCGATGTTCCAGCCTGCCAATCGTCCAACGGGTCGCCTCGGAGAAGGAAAAGCTCTATTTCAGCGGTAAGCACAAATTCTACGGGGTTAAGATCGAGGCGTCAGTCTCACCCGAAGGGTTCCTTGTGGACATGAGCGCACACGAACCTGGCTCTGTGTCTGACATCACCATGTTTGGCGACCGCCATGACGTGCATCTGTCGGCCCTACGCAAGTTGGAGAATGAGACAAAAATCAACGACAACGGCGGGCTCTTTCAAGACATTCCTGACTCGCGGGCGGTACTCGTGGACAAGGGATACGTTGGGTTGACAGGGTCGACGCGAGCCATTCACCCCAAGAAGAGACCAGTGAACGGTGTTCTTGATCGGGCCGACCTCGAGCGCAACACCAACGTATCGTCGGACCGGGTCATTGTCGAGAACTTCTTCGGCCGTGTGTGTCTCCTGTGGAAAGTCTCGTATTCAACCTTTGTGTGGGGGACCAAGTGCTACGATGTAATCCAACGTCTCACCTTTGCGCTGACAAACTTCCACTTGGCCCTGATGCCACTCCGCGTAGGCCAAGAGATTAAATCAGCGTATATTATACTTGGTTTTTGTATACTTCAAGTATAAATTGAAATTGGTTTATAATATTAATCATGGATGCAACTGACGAGTTACGAGTTATTCGAATTTGATCAGTACGTCCGTCATTTCGGAAATATGAATGTCATTCGTGAATTCTCAATTACTTCCTCCGATTGGAAATGATTTATTGGTTTCACTTTGTTTAGCTTTGAACACTTGTATCTCAGTCAAAATAGATTATTGCCTTGACAATAGGGAGATTTCGGAGATGACTTCTCCTTTTCTTTTTCCGTAAAAATTGAAAGCAAAGTAAAATCGAGGCATTTTATATCGACGATTTCGGTGATAACAATTTTTCCCTATCCGTAGACTAGATGGAGCCAAAATCGTTGACTTCGTGGATGATCGGCGAGGTCATTTTGAAGTCGTCCCATGGGTCATTCGCCGTTGAAGCGTTGAGGCTAGTAGGGATGACAGAGGCATACGAAGTATTGAATACATTGAAACTCATATTGTGTTAGTTTAGTTGTTCTACTATCTGTACGACGTTCGGAAAGGTATAGCTACGAAGGCAAGGAGTGGCTTGCACCTAAAGTAGCACGCCTCAACAAAGCGCCAGCTGAAGATGAGTGCTTCTATACTAGTACTTATCTGGTGCTTTTAAGATATCGTTGATAGCCGCTGGTACAACTCCGGTCGGATGTACTGCTAGGCGCGGCTGACTAAGCTGCGCGTCGGGCGCCGCCTAAGTTGCTTTTCGTAGTTCCTACAAGTGTATACATGTGATGATTCTACGTCACTATGCATAAAGATAGAGGTTATCATTACAGTCGGCGACGGAATTTAAGGGGCACCGAAGTATTCGCATTACACACAAATATTCCGCCAATGAGATCTCAATTCACGAATATCGCTACACAATTGGTGGAAAATTATTTAAGGCGGGAAAACATTTTATATTCGCGGGGGATGACAGAGATGAATGTGACCGGTGTCATTTTTAAATGGAGACTGCAGCAAGCAAGAAGATTAGCCCCCAACAAATGCCAAGAAGGCGATATAGTCACGCTAAAAAACGTGAAATGATCGTAAAGATGCAAGAAGCATCCACACGGGACGTATCAGCAGACACAGGCATCCCAAAGAGCAACCTTGCGCGATGGAAAAAGCAAAGCAGTGAGATTCTCCACTTTGAGGGTACAATGAAACGCTTCCACCTCCATGGCGCCGGCCGTCCGGTCTTGATACCAAACGCTGACGGACTGGAAGCATTCATGCACAAGCGACGTGACGCGGAGCTGGCCCTGACGTGCACGCACCTGGTAAATTACCTCAAGCGGAACCACAAGCCTTGGCTGGAGCAGTACCTATCGGACCACCGGAGCGGTTACAAATCCCTGCTGAAGCTTCTCCAGCAGTTCTGTGCGCGCCATGGATTCACACGCCAGAAGCCTGCCAAGTCCAAGCAGACACAAGAACAGCTGGAGAAGGTTCGGTAGGAATTTGCTCAAGACTTTAACGTTGCGTTCAGTGGCTTTTCCCCAAGCGTCATCATCAACGTGGATGAGACGGGCATGACGTACGACATGCCACGTCACGCTATTTGGTCCGTCAAAGGTGGCTCCTCATAGATTTCAAGTGGCGAGAAGCATTCCTACCGGACGACGGCCGTCCTCCCGTGTGTGCAAATGGCGAAAAGCTTCCCATCCTTTTCATTTTGCGCTGGAGCCCGGTGGCCGCATTGAAACTGGCGAGTTTGAGACCTATCCGATTGGTCACTACTATGCTGTTCAAGAGAGCGCCTGGATAGATGCCAGGGTCTGGGCATTTTACCTTCGGAACCTACTGAGACCCCGGCTCGATGAGCCCTCGGTTTTGCTTTTGGACAACTTCGATTCTCATGTGAGCAAGGAAGGAATAAAGATCGCAAGCGAGGAGTGTGGGTGTGTCGTGGCTCCAATCTCTCCGAACGCAACAAGTGTGGTCCAGCCATTAGACGTTGGAATTACAGGCGGCGACGGAATTTAAGGGACACCGAAGATTTCTTGTTACTCACGAAATATTTGCCAATCAAATTCAAATTTATGACCATAGCGACTGGACAAAAATACCTCTACGCGGGAAAACATTTAAAATACGCGCGCTCTGCGCATTCGGCACATGTCCACTCATTTCACAATGCGAGGGGTACCTCGCAACAAGATAAGTCCACAGAAGAAGCCTCGACGACGATACTCTCAAGCGACCAAACGTGAGATGCTCGTGAAGATGCAGGATGCATCAACACGAGACCTGGATGCCAACACTGGCATCCCCAGGAGCAACCTATCGCGCTGGAAGCGGCAGGCCCAATCCCTCGTCAACTTTGAAGGCAACAAGAAGCGATTCCACCTCGACGGCGCTGGACGGCCCACAGGGCTTCCTTGCAGCGATGCCCTGGAGGAATCATGATCAAGGTCCGCGATGCCGAACGAGCCGTGACATGCAGGCATCTCGTCAACTACCTCAAGCGCAACCACAAGGATTGGCTCGACGAATACCTCGCTGTCAAGCCGTATGGCTACAAGTCGCTCCTTAAGCTGCTTCAACGCTTCTGCGCTCGTCATGGCTTTTCCCGCCAGAAACCCGCCAAGGCGAAACGAAACCAAGCTGAACTGTACTTGACCCGCTCAACCTTTGCACGGGAATTTCACAAGGCTTTCGATGGGTTCAGTCCGGACGTCATCATCAACGTCGACGAGACTGCTATGACCCTCACGTGAGCAAGCAAGGGCAACGGATTGCAACCGAGGAATGTGGTTGTGTTGTCGCTCCCATCCCACCGAATGCGACAAGTGCTGTTCAACCCCTTGACGTTGGGGTTATGGCTTCTTTCAAGCGCCACCTGCGGAACTTGTGGCTGGAGGAAGAGTTGATTGAAGGCACTGATAGTGATGTAGACCTTATGACAGTACCGGCCCAACAAAAGCGCCTATTTATGATTCATCGTGCCATAAAGGCATGGGCGCGTATTACGCCGGATGAAATTCGTCGTAGCTTTACTAAGGCTATTCCTCAATAATGTAACTTTTGGAAGGGTATGGACAATACCTAATTTTCTGGAAAAGGTTCGACGCGCCCGGGACTAGAACCCGGGGCTCACTCAAGACACACAACGTGTTTAACCACTGCGCTAACGCGTCAAACGCTTATCTTTAACCTCGCTGAATCAATCCAATCAATATAAAATACTTGAGTGTTTTGAAATTGTGCTAAGTGCTGTGTCGCTGTTTGATTGGCCACAATATCCATCGAACTTCGAAGTACTTCAGCCAATCATTTTCCGATATGCTGGAAATTCGAAGTACCAAGTGTCGCTTAAATTCCGTCGCCGCCTGTATGGCACCGTTTAAGCGGCACCTGCGGAACTTATCGTTGGAGGAAGACCTCATTGAGGGTGGTGATAGTGAGGAAGATGTAGATTTGATGTGTGTCCCTGCCCAGCAGAAGCGGCTTGTCATGATTCATCGCGCAATTAAGGCGTGGGCGTTGATCACGCCGGAGGAAATTAGGCGGAACTTCTCAAAGGCAATTCCACAATAAATACATGTCTTTTACAATTTTCAATAAAAAAAGTTCGACGCGCCCGGGGCTCACTCAAGACACAGAACGTGTTTTACCACTGCGCTATCGCGTCAAACGCTTATCCTTGTTAGAGGCGCATCGTACCAATCAATTTAAAATACCTCGATCTTTGAAACTGCAGAAAATCCAGAGTCTCGAATATGGTTGGCCACTATATTGAACGAATTTCGAAGCTTCTCAGCCAACCATACCGTGTGTTTCCGAATAATCGAAGTAGTAAGTGCCCCTTAAATTCCGTCGCCGACTGTAACTTGTTCGCTCCCACACCACCTCTGATCGACCTCCACTTCATCATGTGGGTCATCCTTCACGCTTCCACCTCCACGCTCCATTCGAAGTGCCAACAACAGAAAAGCGTTGCACCAAGTCAACAGATCTGGCGAATTACAAGTCAACAGATCAGGATTCGAATCCCCAAAATGGACCCATTTCAGGGATTCTGGTACTAAGTTCTGGAGTTTTCCTCAACCTTATAAAGCTTCAGAGGTTATTTTAAGGATAAAGATAAATACTCATCTCCGAAATCTCCCTAATAGGTATACTTCCATATAGAGAATTTCAAAAGATATCCGATTTTAATGCACAGAGTGTCCTACTCCGGAGTAATTAGAGTATTTTAAAAGTTATGGTCAAAATCAATCAGGAATGATGATCAATTTTCACTGTGCTTCAGTATATTTCTGTACACCTATATCTGATTTCACCTGAATTATCTAGTTATAGAGGTTTAGATGGCGAAATATGACAATACCTGCGTAATATAATAATAATTGTACCTAACCGGTAAACCTATCATTCCTTTCCGATCGGAGGTGGTATTAATACATGAACTATCCGTCAAGAGACGATATTGAGCATACATACTTATTCAATCGCTGAGTCCAAACGAATTAATAACTGTAACTGCCTCAATTCATAAAAATATACGTAAATGGGGGACTTCCAAAACCTACACAAATGAATTTGTGTGGACCTTGACATAAAAAAAAAATCAAATAAAAATATGTGTTGACCTCTCGCAATTTGTTGAGGCTGTTTTTTGGTCTCAACAAATCGTGGTGTTTGTGTTGCACATCGCACAAAATTACTTTGATTATTTATACAAATATTAGGAGGTAAGCCAACGATTGGACTTCACGTTCCCACCAATAATATTCGTGGACATCGCGTTACAACTTCCAACGAGTCATGTCGAAAGCAAGCAAAGGGCGCGGTAAAAGTTGGTGTGCAGCGTCGGTTGATCTCTTGCTCGACCACGTCCAAGAGATATTAAACGGCTGGGCTAAGGTTGAGCTCGAATACAGCAATGCTGGTAGCGCATACCCACAACGCGATGGTGAGTCTCTTAAGCGCAAGTACCAGCAGCTTCGCAACAATCCTAAACCAACCGGGAACCCCGAGTGTCCGTCTGATGTTCGACGGGCCAAACAAATTGCGCGTGATATTGATACCAAGGCAGCGTCCTCCAACTTGGAGATGAGTGCGAGGAGGACGACGACGAAGCACCATGCACGCCGACACCATTTACCCCAACAAAGGGTATGTGGCATTTGAAACTGTGAATTCACGTATATTATGTAGATGATGAGAACTCTGACGAATTTGGGAAGCTGATGCCGAGCGTCGGGACAGAGATGAGCGCCGCGAGCAGTTTCAACTTATGTTGATGTCAAAGCTCTTCGACAAGAATTAAAGCAATCTGCATATATATATTGTTTTAGACATCAGTAGATACAAGTTGTTTTGTATATATGGTTTTTGAAGGGAGCCTGTCGCCTGAATTAGTCAAAACCCATCCTACTTTTATGTATTTAGGGTAGTTTAAGTTTGAATCAGGCTATTCAGCCGTCGTTTCATATATTTTTGCAGAAACACATAAAAATACTGATTAACGTATGAGTTCTTCAAATTCATGTGTGGCAACCCCCTACGACTTTTCAATTTAGGTTCAACTAGGCTTAAATTTGGGAAGTTGCAAGATGTTAAATATACTTCCTCTGTTCGCAAATACTGTTGACACTAGTTTGAACAAAATAATTACATGTAAATTTGTATGCAATATTTTATTTGAAAAGGCAAAAACGTGTAATTTTATTCAAAACGTGAATATACGACCAAACCCTGCAGGATGTGATTCAACTAGCACTTGAGGTTCCCGACCATTTCACAAATCTCGTCAAGGTTAGAAGGGGCCATTGACAACGAGGAATCAAATGAATCAACCAATGACTCAATCCGGTCCTCATAATCAAATCTTCTTTGCATTGCATCGATGGCGGCGCACACATCAGCATGGCAGCTGGGTTGCATGATAACTCCGGATGTCTTGCGAGTCTTGTCCTTGCTGGCATGGGGCAAGGCGTACACATTGTCGCCATTCGCCTTGAACGCTTCCTCCATGACATTTTGCAGCGTCATGAAGGTCTTGTCGAGAATCTTCCAGTCCATTTCGACGTATGCTTCGTGGACGGCCGCGACAAGGTCTTCAATGCATCTTGACATCTTCTGGTGCTGCAGCGACTGTATGGCGTTAAAAAAACCCAGGTCTAAGACGTTGAAATCGGGACTCATCGGTGGCTGGGAGTCCAAACGAATG